CCTTGCCCAACCCCAGCCCCGGAGGCCTCTGATCCCCCCCCTTTTTGCCCCCTTTGCACCCACCAAACCACCCCCAATGGACTCCAGACGATTCCTTTTCGGCCCCCTGCCCGGTTCTTCCATTGCAAACCCGCACCGAACTTGGGGAAGCAACTTTGGGGGGCGGACTACAACCCCCATAATCCTCCAGCCGGAGGGAAGGCAGAGGCAGGGCAGTGCCACAGCTTCAGAATGGGGGGAGAGGGAGAGAAGTGCCCTCTGGGGTGGATGCTGGGACTTGTAGTCCTACCACCAGAAGTAACTTTTTCCAAGTCCTGCCTGTGCAATTCCTTGCAATCCCGCTTTCCTTGTTCTGTTTTTTTCCAGTGACTCCTGCAACCTCCCCCCCCGCGCCTCCCTCTTTGCTTTTGCTTCCGGATCGCTCCCCAACCCCCCCAAAAAAGAAAAACACACAACCCAAAGTCTCACCTTGAAGCAGCCCGTGAGATCCGAAAAGCCAGGAAGTTTGCGGGGGGTTAAATCCTGGGGAAAATAAATGGGGCCGCGGCCGCCCTCTAGTGGACGAAGTCCGACAAGGCGGGCCTGGCCGCCGCCCTTTTTTGAAGCTTAAACCTTTAGAAGGTGCAGGGAGGCCCTAGAACTTAAAGGCGCTTCGCCATTCTAGAAGGTTCTTGGATCTGGGAATTCACCATTTTCCCCCAGATTTTAAGTGCAAAGGGGTTGGGAGGAGACAAGAACATCAAGATGGTTGGGGGGTGGACGACACACACACACGTAGGATTCCCTCCACCCCTCCGTAGGATCTCGAGGTTTCAAACTGTTCCCCATTTTGAGGAGACGTGTCACCAAGTCTCTTCAAACAGCCCTGGAATATCTATCCATCTATTCTCTTTGGCTAAAATCCCGTTACTCAGCCTAGTAAGCCATGACTAGAGTAGACCCACTGAATCAAGGGAAATCACAGAGGAGTTCAACTCACAACATTCCTACCGTTTTTAGTTGCAACGTCCTCTGTTAAACCACAGAATTTCAGCCCTTCTGTGTATGGGGAGTCACCCTGTTATGCAGCCTTCAACATCTGTGTTTTTACACACATGTAGAGGGGATGGGATTCTGCTCCTTAATATGCATGCTGTTGTGTAAGTCCAGTTGCATTAATCACTAGCTAAGAAGTTGTCCCCTACATTTTTTGACACTGACCAAGAAATGGGTTTAACCAGAAATACAGGCCTAGCTTCTTAAGCAGTCGTAATTCTCCTTAGCGATTTGTGCTGCTTGACATAAACCGGTGGGTCCATAAAAAGGTCCAATCCCCTTTATCCCATCCCATTTTATATCTTCTTGAAGGCAGGTCTCCATCCTGTTTTATGGCTGCTCCTTATGGGGAAGCCAGCCCCCACCCCATAACCCCACATTTCTTCTTGCATAATTGACATATATAATCTCTTGGGCATGTGTTCTGTGCTGTCGAGTCGGAACTGACCGACACTGACCCTAATATGGCTTTTGAGGTAAGTGAGATATTTAAGGGCTTTTTTTCTCCATTTCTCCTCCCCCAGTGAGTTCCCTTGGCCAAGCGAGACATGTTTAGCCCTAAGAAAAGAAGACTGAGGGGAGATAGGATAGCACTTTTCTAATACAGTGGAGCCGCACTAGACAGTTACCCCGCATGACAGTTCTTTCGCTAGACATTGACTTTTTGCGATCGCTATAGTGATTCGCAAAACAGTGATTCCTATGGGGGAATTTCGCTGGACAATGTTTCGTCCCTGTTTTGCAAAACAATTTTCGCTAGACAACAATTTTGACAGCTCCCTCCGCATTTGCAAAACAGGTGTTTTCGGGACCTAAGCTTCGGAAGGATGCTGACCAATTGGAACAAGTTCAGAGGAGGGCAACAAGGATGATCAGGGGGCTGGAAACCAAGCCCTATAAGGAGGAAAGATGGAAAGAATGGGGCACATTTAGCCTTGAGAAAAGAAGACCGAGGGGTGATAGGAGAGCACTCTTCAAAAGGCTGTCCTACAGAGGAGGGGCAGGATCCGTTCTCCATCATCCCAGAATGCAGGACACGCAACCGTGGGCTCAAGCGACAGGAAGCCAGATTCGAGCTGAATATCAGGAAAAAAACTTCTTAACTTTTAGAGCAGGATGACAATGGAAGCAATGACGCTGGGTGGTGGTGAGCACTCCTGCACTGGAACCATTCAAGAGAAAATTGGACAATCATCTGCCACTAAACACGTTGGACAGATTCCTCTTGGTAACTGGCGTGCACTGGCTCCGTGGAATGCATGCTTCATGTTTACCCCATTGGTATCCAGACGCTGTCCCATTACAGCAGAGGGCTTTCCACTTGCATAAGGGATGTGTGGGTTCTCCCTTGCAGAAGTAGTGGGGAAAGAGGAAGTACCTGCAGAACAGACCACTCTGCTTGTGGTTCTGATTTCTTCAAACATTGCAAAAAGAAGTCCCTTTTTCGCAATATCTTCAGCTGCTAAGTCTGGCCAGAGGTAACGTCTTTGTCTGCTGGTGGAAGAACAACAGGGAGGAGGCCAGCCTAAATTCCAGTGGAAGTGGGTTCCGCAGGCTTAGGAGCAGCAACTGAAAAGGAACACACATAGATTGAAGGTGTGGCACAAGAAGGGAACACCGAGATGGTGTTCGTATCACTTCTGAGAGGGCAAAAATGGAATCCCTGGAGTGCACGTATTGTACACAGTTGCAGCAGATGAAGACCACTTTAACAACCATGTCCTCATCCTACAGAACTCCTGGGATTTGTAGTCTGGCGAGGTGCTTCAAATTGCCTGCTAGAGAGGTCTAGTTTCCTCCCCTGAAGGACAGCGGAGAATTTTCGGCGCCCTCTTGAATTACGAAGCCCAAGATTCTTAAGGAGGGAATCAGACCCCTTAAAGTGGTATCAATCTGCTCCCACCATATCCTGACGTAATTCTACAATTCAGGTCTCCATTCATCGACCCCAGATGTCATTAAAGTGAGGAACTCTGGCATACTGAACAGACCCTATGCTGCTGAACTCCGGCCCCCAACCAGTCTCGGCCTGATCCTGACCATGGAACTCATCAGCCTTGGACCATCCTCCTCCAGAGTCCCGCCTCCTTCTTTGGACTCTGCCCTGGACCCAGGAGCGCATGCAAGTCACGGATCAATTATTGCTTAAACAAGAACCTTGCACAAATCCAGCCCTGGCTGGTCCTGAGTCTCCTTTTGCACCCTTTCCCCAAGGGCTCCCGACAACTCCTCTTCCACCCCGGCCTTGTTCTTCCTTGCAAAACTGCACAGAACAGAAAAGTAAGCATCATCATCATCTTAGAATGGGGCAGAGCTGGAAGGGACCTATGGATCATGGAGTCCAGCCCCTGTCAAAGAGGGGGGGGGGAATCGAACTCCCAACCTCTGGCAAACCACTCAGCTATAGGGCAGTTCAAACTCTGGGGAGGACTACAAGGCCCATCATCCTCTAGCTGGCCAGCATACCCCTGACTAGAGGGAGATGTTCTGCAGTGCCACAGCATGGGGGAAACTGCCTTCTGGCATGGATTCCGGGAGATGTTGTTCAAAAAAAAAATGGAACTTTTCTAAGTCCCGGTTTTGCAATGCATCACAGAGTCTCAGGTTGGTGGGAAGCATAAACAGGAAGCAAACTTTAAGTACCAGGGTGGATGAGAGGAAAAAAAGAGGGGACACGGCTGCCTTCTAGCGGACGAGGCCACACAATGCAAGTCACTTGCAACTCCATGGAAGCAATGAGAAGTTAGTTCTGAACCAGGCGAGACTGAAACGGTAACTAAGGAGGTTGGGTGTTGTGCTTCTTTGTGAGTCCCTGCTCGAGCCATGTTGTCCCCTCGGAAACGGGAAGGTGACTTTCTTGCTTCTGGCACATCCGACCAAGCTTTTCAAGAGTGTTGCTGGCGGTCTCCTCCTGGGATCAAGGGTGAAGGCGATTTTGGGCTGCTATGTGTGAATGTGAGAACTGGACACTAAAGAAGACTGACCGCTGAAGAATGGATGCTTTTGGATTGTGGTGCTGGAGGAGGCTCTTGAGAGTCCCCTGGACTGCAAGGAGAATAAACCGATCCATTCTGAAGGAAATCAACCCTGAGTGCTCCCTGGAAGGACAGACCCTGAAGCGGAGGCTCCAATACTTTGAGAAGAGAAGACTCCTTGGAAAAGACCCTGATGTTAGGAAAGTGTGAAGGCAGGAGGAGAAGGGGACGACAAAGGAGGAGATGGTTGGACAGGGTCATCGAAGCGACCAACATGACTTTGACCCAACCCCGGGAGGCTGTGGAAGATAGGAGGGCCTGGCGTGCTCTGGTCCATGGGGTCACGAAGAGTCGGACACGACTTAACGACTAAACAACAAAAATTAAGCACTGAGAGGTCTTAAATTAACCTGATGTGAAGGAGCCTCAGAGAGGTAGGATTTGCAAGAGGCATCCATGGGGGGATGAGATGGAGTGTCACCCCATCTCTCTTTACCCCATCTCTCTCACACACTCACTTATTCACACACACACACACACACACACACACACACACACACACACACACACACACACACACACACACACACAAAATTTGGTATGGCGGTTGAGCAGTCGGTTCTTCTGAAATCTTGTGAATTTGGATCCCCCTGTCAACTCGTTCGCCGTTTTTTCTAATGTCCGGGGGCTGCTTTCTGTACATCTCTCCATCCGAAAAGCCATGTCGACACACAAACGATGGCACTGAGAGAGAGAGAGAGAGCCTGGTGCCAGGTGGAAATGTTGTGTGGCAGCCAAGGGGTGCGAACCAGGAGAAAGGAAGCAGGAGGTAAGGAGAAAAGGCTAATCAGGCAATCGGCAAATCAGGGGATGAGCCAAAGTCAGGGCTGAAGAGACCTACCAGGAGGGAGGAAAAAGCCCTGTGTTGGGAATGAAAGCAAATCCAAGATGGAGAATCAAGTCATGACAAAATGGCAGACAGGGGTAGGATTAAGAAGAAGCCAGGAGTCTGGGACGAAAGGGAAAGCAGGACTTAAGGAGCAAAGGGCACACCAGGGAGCAGAACTGAGCCCCAAGCCAACCCTCAAGGGTGCTCTCGGTGGGGATACAGGAGCAGTTCTTTTCTGTGGCTGCTCCCAGACTCTGGAACTCCCTCGCACTGGAGGCCAGCCTGGCCCCATCTTTGCTCTCCTCCCGCAAGCAGGCAAAACACCTTTCTCTTCAGGCAGGCTTTCCCTGAGTGACCGGCTTTCTAAGAGAGAGAGAGAGCTTTTAAAAATGGAATGGTTTGGGTTTTTTGTTGTTTTTAAATCCGTTTTTGTCATGCTTTGACCTAACATGATCTATCGATTTATCCGTCCGTCCGTCCGTCGACAGAGAAAGATAGAGATAGAGAGAGATTGTTTGTTTAATTAGGTTTAAATGATTGAACAATTTACCCTTCTTTAGCTTTTAATATTGTGAGGGGAGGGTTTAACAAGGAGGATGAGATAAAAATATTTTAAACAAATAAATAAACATAGGCAAACCA